GATACACCTAGATGTCTGACTTCTTTTTCTCGAGTGACCTTTCATGGCAATGATGTCAACATTCTAATTATATTTGGTATTAAAGTATGTTTTCACTTGATGCAGAGAAGGACATGGCCTTCAGCAGGGACCTGTGATGCTGGAAAACTGTATGTTTGCTTAAGTGGTTAAGTTCAATTTTTATTTACATTTTTTTCTGGACACTTTCAAGACAACAGCTGCTCATCCTGAGATATTTCTAGTCTATGACAGCAGGATTCAGTGGTCCCATAGAAGTGTGAGTTACCTGTGCTCTTGTTCAAGACTATCAGCCTACAAGGTCAACTCTCAAAAACAGCTGAAGAGGAATTTTCCATCAGCATTACACTCTCCTCTTTTTAGCTAAAAGAATCATGTGACTGGAGATGTTTCAAAACTTTTAGTGAAAAAATGGTTCTTTCCTCCATGACTCCCTGTCTAGTTTGCTGATAGGGAATTGTGTCCTCTAGTATCCTCTTCTTTCAATAACATATAAGCGTGAAAAGTTCTGTCTTTCAAGCTCCCAGACTTACTGCAATGGCAGTAGATTTCAGAAACACATCAAATCTTTCATAATGAATTGTCACTTGGACTTTTTCAGATGAAAGTTAAAATAATAATAATAACAACACAGCTAAGTTTCTTTTCTCCCATTTTGAACAGCACGTTATCTGACATCTCCAAATTTCCAAAAGGAATTGTGTCTCAAGACTAACATTATTTAATACATGAAAGGCCCCATGCAGCATTCTGAATTCAAGAAAAGAAATTGGACTGAGAGGGTGTATGCAAAGAAGCAAGTGTTTGTCAGCATAAGCAGATGCTTTACACTCAGCCTATGAAATTGGTTACACATTGTAAGATGCAGATGAATATATTAATTTTTATTACAGATGAGGTGTGCTATGTGTGCAAGTGACTTCAGGCCAGTTTTTTAACTGAGGAAACAAGGTCAGACACTGAAACATATTCAGGCAGTAAAGGCTGCAGATAAATTAGTTCCAAGACTTTCGGAGGGTATCTATCAATAAACTAATTTGGATTTAGATGATAGATGTTTTTTTAATATTTTATTAAGTGTTTTTTTTTGCCTTTAATGGCTGAATTTCTTTTGAAACCAGGCTCTTAAACATCAATCCACTGCATACAACCAGAAATCTGAGCAGATCTAAAAGTTTTCCTTTGCAGAACACTAATATGTAACTATGAATATAATTAAGCATATTTATAAAAGGTAAATTGCTTCACACCTTGCTTTCTTCCAGCTCTTTTTATACAGTATGTGATATAACTGTCACCCTTTAAAATGCTCCAGGGAATTTAATGTAAATGCATATTTTTCTATCAAATCTCTATTCTATGCTGAAAACATAGCAGCTACACTTGAATACAGTGCAGCTATTTGTTATTTGTATTGATGTGGTAGAGGACGTTCCTTGCTTGGAGCATAATTGCTGCAATTCTCAGGCATAACATCCTTCCCCAAAGGTTTTTTTACCAGAACAGCTTAACAGCTAATTCCCACAAATGTTCAGGTAGAAAAACTGCCTTCAAGAAAATAAGGACTCTTAATGTATCTAGAAGCTTAATAAATTAAGAAACTGAATCTGTTATCACGTGCCCTTGGGTGCTACTCATTATCTGTAGTAAAGAAAAAGAAGGATTTGGTTTATCTCTGCTAATCTAAGTTATCGTGCTGGACGTATGTGAGGAGAGAGGATGCTTCTCTGGTAATAACATTTCAAACTTCTTGTGCTTGGACAGTTTAAACTAAACCTTCTATCTGGCAGTTCCTTGATAAGCAATTGACCTCCAGAAGCATTGGTGTGGAGATATTATAAACTCATTTACTTGATTTGATCATTTATCTATCAACTGGGATTGGGAGTTGCTTAGATGCAAGAGTACCTCAGGGATGACTAAGCAATATTACAGCAGCATTTTATGGGAAAGCAAAAATTTCACTCTTCAAAGCAATGTGAGATACTCCTATGGTATTGATTCAAAGTTTTTCTCTTCTCTTTAACTCTGTTACCTCCACAAAAGCCAAACAGTACAGACTCATAGCCTGGATTTTGGGAGGGCTTTTCCACACACTTTCTGTGTCACCTCAAGAAACTCAGTCTCTCAAAACTTCAGATCCCCAGCTTTTAAGTGGGAATTATAGTAATTTAAGTCCTCATAAGAGTGTTGTGAGGGTCATCCATCACAGACTGTGCAGTGTTCAGAAACTATGGTCACAGCATACATAAATACCTATGACACAACCATAAGGCAAGGTGTACAAATTGTGTCACAAAACAAAGCTTCTGGAAGGTCAATGCTGCTGTGCAAGAAAGGACTCCCACTGGTGGTACACTATACACCAAGCTCATAGAGAAAAAGAACAAGAGAAATAAAAGTCATTCTAAAAGGTGATTACATTCTCTGAAAGTTGACTGTTTTTTCACTTATGACTCTTAAAAAGTTCCTAAGTGTTCTTAAAAAAAAAAAAAGTCTCAAGTTCAAGTTATATGACCACACAGCACACACAGACAATAGGTCCTTTTCAAGTATTGTGCCCCATAAGGCCCTTTACAGGTCCATCTTTCAGATACAGGTTTTATGAACCCGTTTACATGAAAACTGCCAGAAAGAGCACCAGGGAGGAGAGCAAAGGGCTCTTCAGGGACAACTCATCATCAATCAGCATTCAGGAGAATGGCATAGACTGAATACCCTTGGGAAGGGCTCACTTCCTCTGTCAAGTGTGTTTTGCGGCTGAAGAAGTCCTTAATCCACTGTCTCTGCTGCATCCTCTCCACAACAGAAAAGCTGTGTGCATGCTAGAAAGGGCTGTGTGATTATTTGGGTTCCTTTTGTTCGCTTGTTTGGTCCCACGTAATGAATGATTCAACCTAAAACAAAAAAATTTTGCTTCCACTGAGTATTTACTGGGAGAAAAGGAGAATCTGTGTTTTTATCTCATCCTATAGCCTGCAGATTCACAGGTTTACATAATAAAAGATGGGTACAGGTTTCAGTATTTCATCCATTAAGTGTTGATGTACAACAGTCTGTGGCAGTGCCAACCTGAGAGATTTTGATCAACTCATATTCCTGGACAAAAAAATACTCTTGGAATCTGATCAACATGGGTTTAAGCCCTCTTAAGCAGAAGACACAAATCTGCAAAATCCTAGCTGAATAATCTTAAACGTCAGCCTGAAGAATGATGGTGTATCTTCCGTGATGATTTTATGAAGACTGCATAGATTTTTCCCATTTGGAACTACCCATTATTGGCTTCAGATTGGTTTGGGGGGAATAAAAAATCCAGATAAATTTCTGTCTACTCCTAAGCGAAGGGGCAGTTCCTATCTTCCTTTGAGAGGAAGATATTACAGGTCTCTCTTCAACCCACATATATGTTTTGGGTTTTTGCACACATTCTCATCTATGCTTTGGCATCACAATTTTTCCCACAAGATTCTAAGATTATTTTACAGTTGCAGTCTTAGAAATAGTTTGCAGTAACTGAGGAAAAAAGAATGCAGGTCCTCATCGCTACAGCTTTTGTATGTTTTGACATCTGCATAAATGGATTAATTTTCAGAAGCATTGCTCCTCCATAGCTCTAATTGTCTTCACCTTAAAAAAATCAGCATCCACAGCACATTAAAAACCTGTAAGCAAAAATATTGATTTTGCATCACAATAAGCTTCCAGACTATTAGAGAATACTAGAAAGTGTACAGCAGATCATGTAGGAAGTCTGAAGGCTTTTCAATGGAAGATTTAATCTGAGGAATAAAACAATGAACATAAATAGATGAATTTTCAGAAGAAGTAACAACTCCAAGAGTTGTGCAGGTTTTGTCTGTGAAGTAATGAAAGTTGCATAAATACAATCTACTGGCAGGAAGACAGTAAGAGTGTGAGAGTAGAAGTCCCATGATTAGTTTAAACAATTTTTATGTATCAATTGAATAAATCTCAGTAACAAAATAGGAGGGTAAAGGAAAAGTAAAGACTTTTCATCTGCCACAGAATCATGATATTTACAATTGTTTGCTATGCTGTGAAGTAGTGACCAATAAATTGAATTTAAACATTAGAAGACAGCGTGCTATCAGAGGATAATAGTTCATAATAACAAGCATGGTAAATTTTTATACCCCCTTATATAAACAGTCAATATACTTTCAAGGCAAATCACTGGTGATATGGCTGATAAATAACAGTTTGCATCCACTTACATGTGTCTCTGCTTTTCCCTTTCAGTGGCGAAATCAGATGGCAGCATTCAAGAATCTCTTTAAGTCCAACAGAGTTCAACAGACCCTTTTCATTTAATGCCAGTTCTTCGGTTTAGACTTGTCAGAAGTAATCTGTTAGTCTTCCCAGACTTTGGAAAATGGGGATTACCTATATAATTACCTATGTAATATCCCCCTGTCTGCTGCCTTGAGGTAGCATCTCTGGTATTGCTTCAAATCAAACTAATTAAGTGTATGTGACTGAGGTGGAGCTCTACCACTCTCCACAAGATCTAGCAAATTCTAAGACCTATTATACACAACATGAAGCTTTTATCTATCGGCTTCTAATTTCACTGAAGCAGCACATGGTTCTGGAGGAACTAAATACCAACCTTATTTTGAGCTCCAGTATCTCACTTTGAGTCTTCACTTACTGTATTTGCCCCGAAGCATTTGGCAGTTGCTACCACCCTATTGTAATTTTGATTTGTTAGCCATGCTATTGAAACAACATTAGCAAAATTGCTGGAAAACCCAAAGTGTAAGAAACTGAGTCTGTGAATATTCTATTTCTACTAAGTTAAAAAGTAACTTTGGCTATCCAAGTGATTTTTAATGAAGAACTCAAAACCTTAATAAAAATGTAATATAATTAATCTTTCATCTTTTCTGATTCGTTTACTGTATTTTCCATACTTAGATGTAAAACATTGATTCTATATGCAAGTAAACATAACATACCAAAATCCACAAGCTTGACTCCTCCATCAGTGGTCAAGAGGATATTATTTCCTTTAATATCTCGGTGGATAGTTTTGTTTTCATGCAAATGCTGAAGTCCCTGGAAGGTGAGATGTAAACATGAACTTTTTACTAACTACTATGTCCCCTGTATTATGCTTGCAGAAACAAAAAAGAAGCAGAGAAGTATGAAAAAACTTAGAACATTTTGTTTAAAAATCCAAAATCACAGAAATGTCATTATTTCTGGAAACACTTGGCAATGAGGAACAATGAGGAGCAGGTATTTTTTAATCAACCCACTTTACATCAAATAGAAATTTTAAGATAAATGCAGAAAAAAAAGCACCTGTTAAATCTACATTATATTTTACACCTTTAGAGTATAAACTCAAAGAAAACTGCCAAGGCCTAAATTCCACTGCAGAAAGTCACATTCCAGTTAAAAGAAAAAGGAGAATAAAGACACTTGTTCATTCTTAGCAAAAAAAGGAAATATTCTTGCAGCAGTGTTTGAACTCACTAGATCTGTTGACAATTTTGCTATAAAATATTTTGGATTTAGACATTAAATTTGAGCCGTATTTTTGGTATATTTCTCAAAAGAAAAGTGATTTTGGTGCAGAACTGTATTTAATAAGGAGATTAATCAATTGACAGAAATAAATTTTCATTCTCTTAATAATGAAACAAGCAGATTAATTGTTCTTTATCTTGCTTGTTTAAAAGAACCCTCTGAATTACGCATTATCTTAATTTCATTAAACACCACTATAACAGAAGACAGTGAACTGTGTTAGTGAAGACATGATCTTCATTCATTCAAAGAAAAAAACATGAGCTGCATATCGACTGTCCTTTCACCGAGAGCTTATCTTACCATCAGAGCTTCACGTAAAATGTAAGCAATTATAAGTTCATTCATCCTTTCACCTCTCTTCAGAAATCCTTTCACAAGATCAGTCACAGATCCACCATTGCACAGCTGCAAAGCATCAGGGGAATATAAAAATAAATTAGACAAGTATTGGAGTAGCCACCTGGTTTAGTTTTCAGTAGGATCTGTAGCCAAATGAGCTCCTATTAAACTGGCAAACCACAAATTTGTCCTTCTCTCTACTGTTTATACAAACATACAAAGCAATATTTGCCAATTTTTTCCACTACTTGCTGCATTTAATTCTTCTTCCCAAACACAAGCACAGCAGCCAATCTCTTTGTTTTTCTATATATGATTGCTTTTCACTGAAACAGAAGTAGCTGATAATGCAATAAATTTGCCGTGAAAGCATGTTCTGTGGGGCACACTAATTGCTTCTTACATTCATCATGTGCAAATCATCAGCAATGCAGATTATTACAAGATTAATTCTCAGGTACAAAAGCTCCATACAACATAAAATGGGTTTAAGGCATTGGAAGACAGAGAAACTTCTCCAACAAGAAAATCTTCCAAGGGGAAAGGTGCCCTCTTTAGCAGGGAACAGTTAATTCCTAGAGCATAAGGATGTTATTTGTAAGGGACAGGCACAATGAAATGATGAAAGCACTGTGGAAAGAAAGGTCTCATCTTCCACCAAAACAACGTGGGCCATTGGTGTAAGACTAATTATAGCCCTTGTAGCATCAACCTTGTCAGCTTCTTGTTTGAGATGCACAGACACAGTCTACTCTGAACAACCCCTTCTCCTGTCTAACGTCCAGTTAGACTCCCACAACTGCCTGTCCTGTCCCATACACATGGAAAGCAGAGGTTTGGCCTTGCTTCCTAAAAAGCTTAGTGAGAACATATTACTAGCAGATTAGTTTAGACCTACACTATACAATATGTACACCTACAATTTTTCTGCAGGAGGAGGCAACAATGTAAATTTAATGACTAACTCTGTAGCAGTTATATACTTGCAAAGATGAAGCCAGTACTTAAGCCCTTAAATTATCCATAATACACCTAACAATACTCATTGATTGAGGAGCCACTGTCTCTCTAGAGAAGGAGCTGCTTCTGACAAAACAGTGAAACAAATTGCAAGTTTTATACTGTATCATCTAGCAGCTTTTCATATGAATATAAATATCCATAGAAGACATTTTACCAATGTAACACAAAATAGTAATTCCTTTTGGCTACAGATTTTGAAATTCATTCAAATGCAGGGCATAATTAATTCATAAAGCCTTTCAACTACAGAACTCCAGATATCAGAAACTTTTGTACATGATTTTAAAAAATCTGTTATTGTATAGCTTAACATTTTTTATGTGCTGCAATTACAAAAAGACTTGCACCTTACAGGATGAAAAACATTTTATAGCCCTTTGTATCCAAACAACAATCATTTTCTGACTACCTTTGTAACCTTGTTGGTTGAATTGAACTTGCACCACATGAACCATTTGATACATAAATCTTGTTGCAAGATGTGCCCCCCACAAGGTCAAGAAAGGCTCTACTCTGATAGAAACTGAGGTCTACAGCAACCATCTCTGAACTCACTTAATCCCACCCTTCCTTCAATGGGACACCATGCATGCTTAGACAGTGAAGAACTCATATGCTCAAATGATGACATTAAGTGCTTTGCTGGATCAGGGTCAGAATGCCAAGCAGGATTTAATTTACTGTCTTAAGCCATGCTGCTCTGCCTTCTCTGTTGACTTTTTCACCTTACAGGATGAAAAACATTTTATAGCCCTTTGTATCCAAACAACAATCATTTTCTGACTACCTTTGTAACCTTGTTGGTTGAATTGAACTTGCACCACATGAACCATTTGATACATAAATCTTGTTGCAAGATGTGCCCCCCACAAGGTCAAGAAAGGCTCTACTCTGATAGAAACTGAGGTCTACAGCAACCATCTCTGAACTCACTTAATCCCACCCTTCCTTCAATGGGACACCATGCATGCTTAGACAGTGAAGAACTCATATGCTCAAATGATGACATTAAGTGCTTTGCTGGATCAGGGTCAGAATGCCAAGCAGGATTTAATTTACTGTCTTAAGCCATGCTGCTCTGCCTTCTCTGTTGACTTTTTCTAGTTACTTTTTTTTTTTTTTTTTTTTTTTTTTTTTTTTTTTTTTTTTTACAATGACATCACCTTTCCAGGCTGTCCATTGTTCTAACTTTGCCACATGACCAACATGTTCAATCAAACTGGCTGGATGATGACAATTCTGGTTAATCTAGTGCACTTGCATTTCAGGGCACTGAAACTGTCTGACAAGTCAAACCAATTGTGAAATAAATTACACATATGATATTCAAACTATTTTTCTTCATTAACTAGTATTAAAATTTTGCTTCTTATAAATAGAATTTCTGTTTTATTTACAGAGCTGGATATATGTTAGTCTTTCTGTTCAAGGTAAAGAAAACTAACCCAGAAAGGAATATATTATTCTTGGTGGTGGGCTCAGAAATCACTTTCTTCAATGTTCAGGCCATAAAGCCAAGACTGAATTTATTTGCCTGGGTCAGAAATGTTAATTTCTACTTTATTAAACATGACACTTTAACTAATTTTTCTACCCCTTATAAAATATAAATGCCTATTGTATGATAAATATCTGTATTGTAACATAAAACTTACCTAAAATATCAGGTAAAGTAAGACACTAAAACTCTTATTATTTTAGACCACACCAAAACTGAACCTGGGTATGGAAAAGGTCAGCTGAGCAGGTCTTGAAGAAAAAAGCAGAATTCACCCACAGCACCAGGGAAATGCTCCACCAACTCCCAAGGCAGGGTGGCTGCTTAGGCAGAGTTCAGCTGAGAACGTTACAGACACAGGTTCTTGCACACACAGGACAACTTTTCTTTTGCTGCTTCTGTCTCAGAGAGTTGTACTTTCACTTACAGCAAAAAAATTGTATTTTTCTGAGGCCACAAGCATAGGAGGAAGAGGAAAAAAAAGGCTGGGTATTAGAATGCAAGCAGCTATAAGGAGGAAAAGGGATTATTGGAATCAAACTAAAATTAGAAAAGGAGCTTACAGCAGACACTGCTTGTGTGTGCTCTGAGTTTCGTGGGGCAGGAGGGGGGAACAATGACGACAAGGATGGAGGAGGAGGTTTTAGTATTAACCTTGTTCTATTTTCTACAGGCTACACAAGTCCTCATGGGTAAAATGTTGCATATGGTCTTATTTCCTATTTCTATTGTCTATTTTTTGCAAGTAAAGCTGCCGTATGTCCCTCGAACTATACACATAACTAAAGTTCAAACAGTGATTCTTTCTCTGGACTCAGGCTGCTTCTTTGTACCATGCTGTCCACAGCAAAAAACCTGTGTGGCCTCTTAACAAAGTTACTGTGTTTGAGTTAAGCTAACTGTAATGCTTGGATGACAAGAAATCATGAAGGCAGCAGAGATAACTTTTTAAAAAGATCTGTGTGAAGATCCAGTGAAGCACCTAGAGAAGAGGGGAGCTGGTAGCTACTACTTTGTTGTAAGCATTGTAAACTCACATGGCCAAACAGCTAATCACTCTGTGTCGATACTCAACATAATTTAGTAATATCTCCTCAGAATATCTTGATGAAAGGCATTATAATCAGAAAATACAAAACACATGGAGAACTCAGGACACAGACATACAGTGGAAGCCACATGTCTATCTGAGCTGTGCCACAGGGCTCCTTCCTACCCTAAAGGTCAAAGTAACTCACCAAACGCAAATGTCCTGCAACCTGTCATAGATATGGGCTCTTCTGGGAGAAGAGAGAAGTACTTCTATTGCTCTCTCCCACACTCCCAAAACACCCCCCCACACACACATTCCCCCTTGCATGCACAGAGGCCTTTGTTGTGGTTTGTATCAGTTTTATAATACCTATTTTAAGCAACTAGTAATCCCAGGAGGAAGTGATGGTGGTGCCTGTTAGCTCAGGTTTGGCAGCAAAAGTAGTAGAAGATGTAAACTGAATGGACTTTCTCTGTTTGTTTCTCAGATACCACATACTCTGCTATCTGAAATGCAAGCAAAACCACAGCCCTTCAGTCTGAACTGTTTTTAGAAAGTCTCCAAATGCTGCATTTTCCCAATGATGGATATAAATTCTCTTTTAAGCTTTGAATAAACTTAATTTAGAAAGAGTCCAGCCTATGAGACACAGTTAGGGAAGATATTAGTGATCCTCCCACAAGGATGTTACTTAGAAATGTCATCTTGATAACTTTGTATATAAGTAATTTTCATCAGTTTAATGTTATTCACTTATTCTATTGTTCCCTTGTGATCTACATGTATTTTCTTTACTGGCAGTATTTGCAGTGCCTGCACTGATCAGATGCAAATATTACCTGCAAACACAAGCAAGTAAAAAGGGGGTAAACTGAACACTCTGGGATACTTAAAACGGAATGGATAAGATAGAGACAGATGCTTTACAGAGGCACACAGCAAAGGGTTAGAGGCAAAAAAACCCAGCTGCAAGATAGTAGATTTCTACTGGACATAAAGGAAAAATTTTCCTACTGAGAGTAGCTAGTCACTGGAACAGCTTGCTTAGTCTGTATTATCTCCATTCTTGGAAATATTCAAAAGTTCAAGGGAAAAGACCCTGTGTAAACCTGTAACACTGAAGTTAATCTTTGAGCAGAGGGCTGGACCAAATAATTTCCAAAGGCCACTTCCAAGCTAAAATTATCTATTATTCATAATATTTGGATTTAAAAATACTCAGTCCCCAGTTTGGATATTTAGAAGCACGAGGAAAAGACTAAAGAAATCTTGCATACTCAAACCAATGGAAAAACAACTAGATATAAAGCTTGATCTATGCAAAACCCTGCCTGGAAGGGTATAGCTCTGATGGCCACACATAGCTGTATCAGAAGAGGTACTTACAGTGAAAACAAAGGGCTCTTCCCTTACGATTTTCTGGCACTCAGAAGGCAAAGACTCATACTGGGATGACAGTCCTCCACCCACCCATCTGCCACAACCCTGTGCTACTGTAATTGAACTATTAGT